CCACCTAAAGCCCGTGGGTATGTACTTGGGGTGGCTAACTTGCCAATGCCCATCCAATACTATTTTTTAGGGCTTGTCTACATGGCTGGTTAGTATGCAGCAAGGTGGGGTGGCAATGTACGGCGTACGAGCGTGCTGTGCATTAAAAGTTCCATAGCACATCATACATCAAAGCACACTATGGAACTTTTAGTGTGCAGTTGCAGAGTCCACACAGTCAGTCAGTGTGCAGCAGGCTAGTTCACTGTACATTCACACCCTGGCTTGCAGCCCACGAACTAGCCCTTTATTTTAAAATCACCATAATGCATTGTAGATAAAGGGAAGCCTAAGCTATGTATTCTGAATAGAAGAACCCATACATACAAATAAACTAAAAAAATTAGGCCAATTTACTTCTTTGAGTAGATAGAAGAACATCAACAGAACATAGAAAGGAGCTCTCACTTCAGTATATGGCCTAAATTCCTCTAAACTAAGAGCATTGCAAAAACATAGCCCAATAGCATGAGAAAATTAAAAAGGGGAAGTAGGATTAATTTCAGTAAAACATTTTTGGTATCTCAATTTCATGATTCAGCCTGTCTGATGAAATACAAGTAAACACTTGCAATATGCTTAATACAGGCCAACTTTGGATCTAGTGCAGCCCTGCAAAAATTCTACTTGCCCACTTGTGCAGGGTGAATAATTTTTTGATGAGAACAAAAAAAAAAACAACCATCATCTATCATCACAACAAAGGATAGTTGAGTAGATTTTGTGTCTAGTCTGGTAAATTTTCATGATGGTTTTGAGACTGTTTTAATGAGGGAAAGATGAGTGGCATGAAGACAGCCCAACACCACTAAGATAACATTTTGCATAGAGTCTGATTGTTACTGCTATATCTTACAGAGGTAAATAGTTAAGGTTTGCTATTTCATACTGATTGCTACAGAATCTTCCATTAAACAGTTGGAAGTTTATGTCTGGATGATAAACACACTGTATTATAGTCTGCTGTTCTACACATTAAAAAAAAAAAAAGGAAGACAGTGCTCCTTTCATGAGAATAGTGTAACAAAAATGTCTTGAGGTCTCAGATTCCTAAGCAGATGTTGGCAAAGCCCCTAATGTCTTCATTTTACAGTCAGGTGGTAACGACAGAGTAAAGCACCAGTGTCATGCCAACTTTCTTCTTCACCCCCTCCTCACCCCGGCAAGTATACACCTGGCTCAGCCATGTGATAAAAGCATATAGCAGAGCATGGCATAGAGCCTGCTAAATGGCCCTTCTCACATCTTCCAGGGACATCTCTATGTTCCTCTCCTGGTAGGCCTACCTTCGGAGAGTGAAGTCTCCTTCATTTCCTCTTTGGGAACACTAGGGGCAGCCAGCCTCAGGGAGAATAAGAGTTATGTTATTGCTTTTGTGTTACCAACCAGGAAGGAAGAAAGGATGGATGCTAAACTCAGAAGACCTGCTAAGGCCCCCCCATGTAATACAAATTGTCTAAGTCTTCTAGGGTTTGTAGGCAAACCCCTCAGCCTAAATGGAAATCCCTGTTTGATTGGCTACCTTTATTCCCCCTACTTCCTGGCCAAAGAAGCCAATCAGAGCTGCTCCATATGCTGACGGGCAGCTTGTGCCCCCATGGAAACATATGATCTCCAGCACTAAAGCGGAGCTGGATGGAAAATAGAAACTCCATGCCAGCTGAGCTCTGCAACTCCTACTGCTGACCCCACCCTCAGCGTGCAGTAAGGCTGAAGTTGCTCCCACTGTTGGCCCCCACTGCCAAGGCTGGAGGGTGAGTGGATGAAGAATCTGGGTGGTGGGTCTCTTTCCACTCCAGCAGCTGGTCTTTTTGTGGGAGGAGAGGGAGAGCAAGGAGCTGTGACTTGGCAAAGAACAAAGGCAACAGAGACAGAATTAACAAAAAGGTAGGGGAATCAAATGTGTGTGGGGCATTTGTTTTGTCTCTGGGGAGGTGGCAGAATCAAGTATTGGTTGTATGTCTGGGAGGGCAGAATCCAAAGTCTGGGTGTGGAGTGGGGCAGAATTAAATGTGTTGGGTGTTTTTAATAAATGCAGAATCAATTTGTTGGAAGGCATTGTTATCCTGGCTGTGCTTGGAGTGGGCAGTGGAACAAATTGGACTGTGCTGGGGTGGGCTGGCTGTGGAGTTTACAATTAAGTAGACTGTTTCCAATGTTATGCACATTTATACAAATGAAAGTTCTATTTGTTGTTGGACAATGTTACTGTGTGCTCTGAGAGAATTAGTACCCAAACTCACCCCCTACCTAGGGTTTGTTGGTAACTCAAAGCAGCAACAGAACATCAATCTCAGCTTAAGCTTTCTCCATGAGTTCGGCTGCCCCATGATATTCCCTGCAGTAGGACAGTGTTAGGATAAAAGGTGCTAATGTCATGTACATCAGGGGCCATTAAAATATAAGCACCCAGGGTGAAACTCTCCAGAAAAAGAATTAAAGATGCCATGCATTAACCACACCCAGAGAGTCATTAAGGGCTATTTGTGTGAGTCTGTCAGGGCCATTACACCCTTCTGTGCTTCATTTGTGTTACAAAGCAGCTGCACACAAGGAGGATTAACAGCCAGGACATTGACCAAGAGAGACAAAGACCATGCAGTTTGGAATGTCTTGGACAAGGGCTTTCCAGGTATAAAGTGCAGGGGCTGAGAGGGGAGAAAGGGGACACAATGTTCTTAAACATTTGGATCTGTCTGAGGACTTGTCTACATGGGGAGATTTATTTGCACAACAATATTGGTATATGTTAGCTTCCAGAGTGACAAATTCAACTGGAAAAAAGCATTCCAATTCTGGAATAGGAGTGCCCACAGGGGGAGTTACACTGGTATACACAGAGTGATATAATTATACTACCCTGTTTCCCCAAAAATAAGACATCCTCCGAAAATAAGGCCTACTTACAGTTTTGCCTCTCGTTGTAATATAAGGCATCCCCCCGATAATAAGGCATTTTTCATTTCTGAAAAATAAGACATCCCCTGAAAATAAGACCTAGCGCATCTTTGGGAGCAAAAATTAATATAAGACACTGTCTTATTTTCGGGGAAACAGGGTAATATAGTTATGCCAGTAAATTTCCCTGTATAGACAAGGCCTGAGTTTTGTGTGAGACCCTGGAGAGAGAGAGGGCCAAGGCATCTATTTCTTGGGATAGCATTATGTGGCGTTACCTGCGGCTTCTCCAAACCGGAGCTGAGTGTGTGCCATTTGTTACCACCCCATTCCCGGAAACAGGACTTGTGTACATTGTGTAAATATGACTCTCATTGGATTTCTGCCACAAAGAGGATACTGGTCTTCGAGTAGGACTGGTCAGAAACTTTCCATCAGAACTGTTTTTCACTGGAAAAGTGAGGTTTTTGAAGAAACAAAATCATTTATGAAAAGTGTCTGCTTTCTGCAGAAAGTTTCAACGTACCCGCGAAACCCCAAACTTTCAATTTGGAAATGGTGAAACACTTTGTTTAGACATGTTCGATCAAAACAAAACATTGATATTCCTGAATCAAAATGTTTTGGCCCAACTTGACATTTAACCACATCTTGCTGAGCCACTAAGCTATCTCATGCTTCTGCATTCTGGTCTGTGGACCGAGCTCTCTGTCTCGATTACATCTGCCACAAGATTCCCTGGGGGGCAGTGAGAGGGGAGACCTGGTTGATTATGGGAGATCTAGTCCAGCCAGAGAGACCACCCCTTAGGGGAGAGTAGAGCATGAGGCACCCGAATTGCAACGCCCACAATGTGCTATGGCTATGTTTAAGGTTGAACTACTCAAACAAATGTTTTGGTTTGACAAGCCAAAATATTTTAATTCAGGTTAAACCAACTGAAAATAACATCTTATTTCTATTTTCCCCTGACAGAAACTGATTTTTTTTTTTGGCCAAATTTTTTTGATGAAAAGTCAAAATTTTCCACAGAAATATCCCACCCCAACCTAACTTTTCTGACAAGGTTAATTGGCAAGACCTTGAAGTCTGCTTCCTCCCAGAAAAGGGGTGACAAAAGGCTCATAAGTGTGAGAGACGGGTCTTTCACAAGCACTGGACTACTAGCCCATGAACACACTAACAAGAAATAAGAATGACCACAAAACTAAGAATTAAATTCAAACTGACTTTTATGTTTTCCCTCAATAACTTCTTCACACAAACACATCATACCCACTTATTCATTCACTCACACTAACATAAGAAAAACAAATACCCTATAAACTATTCAGGCTATTTCTCCTACAGGTTGGGAATAAAAAAAAAAGTTATTGCCATTTTTATTTTTAAATAGCCAGAAAAGGTGCTATTGTCTATAGGGCCTATGAGGTGGTGTTTTAAACAGTGTTTCTTTGTACTTAATTAAACCTGGTTTTTGACAGCATAAAACCATCTAGTCCCAAAGAGGAACTCCAGTTTTTTAGCTATACCTTGAGACTCTGTAAAGCTTTCCGTTTTCCTATGCTAGTTGTCTCATTCACATTTAGAAAGTTGTTTAATTCCTGCCTTTTAGAAATCAATGCCTATTAAATTGCCTCAACTAGTAAAAGGTTAAATATACGATGCCCTGAAGTTGTTAAGGAACTACAGAAGGAATAACATTAGAAAACAATGACGTGGTTAATCATTGCACAATCCTGAAAACTAAAGTTCATGGAGCGTGAGAGAGAGAGTGCGTATGTTCAGTTCACCAGCCTATTCCTTTTCTGTATCATAGAAAAACACACCCAGAATCAATGAGCTTGTTTCTGCAAGGAAGATTTCACAGAAATGAGCCAAAGATTATCTTGAATTTCTGCCTCCTGCTGAGTCATAAAGTAAGAAGAATTTAATTGGCTACTTGAAATTTGCAAATGTGGAGGTTTCCGCATAGACACTTTGATTGGCCTATGCAACACCTTCCCCGAACCAATCGCACTCTTTGTTTCATTTGCCTGCTTTTATTCCCTTGCTGACTTCAAGCTCACAGCCACATCTCTGTTTGTACGGTGCTGTTTTCTCTCTCTCTCTCTCAGTGCAGCAGCAGCAGCTGAAGTCTATGTTCATTGCTAACCTGATCAACCCAGGATGTGGCTTCTCTGTGACATCACACCCAGATGTTTTTCCAGGCCACGCCCCCACGGGGCTCTGAAACACTCAGAGGAGCAATAACGGAGAAAGCTTATTCTACTGTCACAATGCAATGGACGGGTTAGAGAAACTGCATTTTTGTCATTTCATTGCACTCTAGAAGATCAACATTAATTCCCACTTAAAGCAACAAGCTGCCAGAGTTATGATTTTTTCTTTCATTGGACTTTAAATGCCTTTTCTCTTTAGTGACAAGCTGGGTGCAATCTTCACAAACAGAGTGCATTTAGAATAGCTGTTCAGTCAGCTCTGGCTTCTACAAAGGGATCCTAAGAAATAGGAGGGGAAAAGTCTGCTTGGTTTTGTATTTTTTTTTTAAAAGGGAAAACGTGCAATTTTTTTTTTAAACACACCTATGAAAAATGGCAACAGCAGCATACGTGGATCATTTTGCAGCCGAGTGCCTTGTTTCTATGTCCAGTCGTGCTATTATCCACAGTCCCAAAGGGGACGCAGATCCCCGACCTGATGCAGCAGTACCTCCTCCTCTATCAAATGGAGAAAATAAGCGGGAAGTAAGAGAGACCGGGAAAGACAATGGATCGTCGCTGTTTGTGGTGGCCAGGATTTTAGCAGATCTTAACCAGCATGTCCCAAATTCTGCCACCGTTCGGATGGAAAAAACAGAGAGCATCGATAACAGGGAAAAACTAAGTCCTTCTTTTCCTCCTCAGGAGTTTGGGGAGGAAAGTGTCTCCCCAGCCGGCAAGCGTGGAGAAGGAAAAGCAGCCACACCTACTAGCCTGGCTGCAGTAAGCGAGCCAAGCCCCAAACAAAGGAGCAGACGGGGAAGAAACCGGGCTGACCCCGAGTCACCCCAGAAAAAGCACAAATGCCACTACGTGGGGTGCGAAAAAGTTTATGGCAAATCTTCCCATCTCAAAGCTCATCTAAGGACCCACACAGGTTAGTTACTAGCTGGCCAAAGATTTATTCATTACAATTTGTCATAAATGAATAAATAGACCCCTCCCCCAACTTGCATTTGGCCAACATTATGATTTCATCTTTCAGAACTCAAGCCCACAATAAAACTTTGGGGAATAATAATTCTAGTTGTCATCCATGTGAAGCTAACTTTATTATTTTCATTGCTTTAGTCATACGTATGAAGTGTTAGAGGTGTAATTAGACGGTTCCACTGAGCTGTAATTCTCAGCTGCTAGCCCCCCTCATGTAATTCCTCTTATCCCACCCACTGCTTCTTATGTCTGCATCCCCTCTTGCCTCTACAGCTCCCTACCCTCTGCTTCTGGCACTACCTTGAAATCAGCAGCCCATCACCTCCTATGCAAGCTCCAACACCCACATCCATGAATTTAAAATTAAACATTTTAGTGACACCTGAGTCAGTGTGTTTCTTTCTATGCAGTAGACACTTGAGTGGCCCAGAAGAGAATGGGGAGAGGTTGAGAGAGAGAGACCCAGGGAAGTATTTCCTGTGTTCCCCCTCCCCGATACACTTGTAAGAACAATCTCCAAGGGGCTGCGGTGGCAGCTGGCCACATCCTCAGGTACAAACATCCATTTGAATGCAAACCACCAGCTGAGTTTGACCAGTGTTCGAGACTCTCTTAAGTTGTTTTCTGTGAACTTTCATACAAGCACTTCTTTTGGCTCGCAAGAATGTACACAGAAAAAGTAAAAAAGTCTTGTGAGTACTCACATGAAAACGGCCACACAGAGTTGTGTGCTGGAAGTGTTAACATGGCCATCTTGAAACTTAGCCAAGCCCCACTCCTGGAGAGAGAAGAGTTAGGCCAGCCGTTAGGGAGCACTGCAAGCTTTAGGTGGCCAATGCTCGCTCACAGCCATTGTCGTAGCGAGCACCTTGAGAACCACACACAGACTAGAGCTTGCTTGCATGGGCCGTTCTCTGAATAACTTCAAACAACGAACACATTTGTAACAATTCAAGTATGGCCACAGATAAATAGCATAAGGAAAAATAAAAACTAAATACTTGGAACAAATTACCAGCCATAGTTAGTTTTAGCTTTGATGCAGATGACATCCCACAGCCGCCCCCCCTCCCCAATGTGGCACATGGGATGAGAGCCCTTCTGGTTTTAGGCTTTGAGTTCGGTGTTGGGGAAGTGGAAAGCGTAATATGGAATGTTAAGTTGTGTGTGGGTGGTGACATATTCCCTGTGCCACATGGCCAGAGGCATGCTGAATCCTTGGTACCGTAGCCAGCTTGCCTTGCACTGTGTCTTGCCCAGCTTTTGTTTCCTCTGACTGATGCAAAGGGTTTTGCTGCTTGATTTTTGGGGAAAGTCTATTAACATTGCCCCCTTATGTTCATCTTTGCTTTCCTTTTAAATGCAAGATAAAGTTGCAAGGTTCCTGAGCTCTCAAACTAACTAGAAACCCAGAGAGGGAGAAGGGGAACTCCTCTCTCTTATGAAGAGAACAAGGCTTAGCCATGGCTGCCCTCTGGGGAGGAGGGGGTGGAGCACGTCATTCAGGGGCGGGCTGGTGAGCTGGAGTCATTCGAGGACGCTGGCTTTGCTCCAGCTCTTTCTCTTTTTTTTAAATCTTCCTTTCCTGTAAGTTTACCAGCACTGTAGGGTTTAATTTGTTGTTGTTGTAGCTAGTCGTACTGAGCGTGCAAGCGCAGGAGTGCATGCATGTGAGAGAGTTAGAGGAAAAAGAGGGGAAGGGACTGGTTTTGCCCTGGGAGTGCCAGGACCCTAGGGGACTAGAGCGTCTTTGTTCAAAGCTTCCCACACAGACAGACACTGGCGACGCAAGAAAACAGTCCTGCCAAGTTTCCCTTATTGGCAACAAGACTGTCTCTGTTTGGATTCAGTTTCAGACAGGTATAAATGTCTCTTGCTCTTGTTATGAAGCATTTTACAACATGTTTCAATGAGACACTGAAAATCTTTATCCCCTTCCCTCTCCACCCCCCTCCCCCTCCAAATATCATACAAATTGTGACAAGCCTGAGAATAGCTCACACCAGGCCAGGAGTTCAGCACATAAAACTGGTAGCCATGGCTAGGGGAAGGGTGAACATTCCTTTTTTTTTTTATACAATCGGTGTGGTGGGATCTAATGGTTGGAACAGGGACCTCAGGAGGTCTGAATTCTCCTTTCTGGCTCTAACGCGGTCTTAAAGAAACCATGTGTGCTTCCATTTATCCATCTATAGAATGGGGGTGGAAGTGCATACCCACCTCAGCAGGATCAGGGGAGGTTTTGTTAATTAAAGTTTGTAATGTATTTTGAGAATCTCCGATGGAAGGTGCTAGAAACAGTTCTCTCAGTAGTCACCCCACAACATGATTACGAAGAATTGTGACCACAGAATGTACAAAGGTCTTTTAAGGAACAGAACTGCTCTCACATTCTGTTGCACTGGAATAACTTGTATTCATGTGCAAGCTGAAGGTTAAGAACAGCACTTCAGGCTAGACGTGGGATATCTGTGATTGCGATGAGACATACATGTATAGCACAGCTTGTGACTTGCTTGAGAAACATACTCAGCAGTCTGCTACTGTACTCCTAAATTAAGGTTTTTACATCACATTTGAGACACCCAAGAATAGGGTGACCAGACAGCAAGTGTGAAAAATGGGACAGGGGGTGGGGGGTAATAGGAGCGTATATAAGAAAAAGACCC